TTTTTTTTTAGAGCGACGTTTCATTTCACCTTTTCTGGGATGGAGATTTCTTCTCACCAGTTTCACCTCTTGCAGCAACTCAATGAGCAGCGCAGGCAGGACTTGTTCTGTGACTGCAACATCCTGGTGGAGGGAAAGGTTTTCAAAGCCCATCGCAATGTGCTGTTCGCCAGCAGCGGCTACTTCAAAATGCTCCTTTCGCAGAGCTCGAAGGAGACGAGTCAGTCCACGACAGCCACTTTCCAGGCCTTTTCTCCTGACACCTTCACGGTTATCCTGGATTTCGTGTACTCAGGCAAACTGTCCCTCACTGGCCAGAATGTCATCGAAGTCATGTCGGCTGCCAGCTACCTGCAGATGACCGATGTGATCAGCGTGTGTAAAACCTTCATAAAGTCGTCGCTGGATATCAGTGAGAAGGAGAAGGATCGGTACTTCAGCCTGTCTGACAAAGATGTGAGTTCCAACGGTGTGGAGAGATCCTGTGTGTACAGTGGAGGGTGGAGGGCGGAGAGCAGCCCCCCACATTCCCATTCCAGCCCAGACCCTGGGACTTGTATGATGGGCGGCAACGCTTGGAGCAATTTCAACTATTACCCCAGCTCGCAGAGAAATGCCCAGCAGCAGCTGTCCAAACAYGAGCAACGGCCGGATTCCATCAAGAAATCACGGCACCTGGGGCTGCAGCAGCCTTCTGACATCCCCCACTATAAAYCCAGCAAGCTGGAGGACAGGGCCGCCGAGCCCGCGGGCCACGCCRCGCCGGCCGAGGAGCAGCTTCACATGGACGCCGAGGTTGAAGCTCCTCACGTGGGCTACCAGTTCGGCCAAGGGGCTGATGTGATGCCCAGGGGCTTGGCTGTGTCGCAGCAGGAGCACGAGTCACCCCGCTCCTCCGGGAAATCCAAGTCGTCCAAAGCTGAGGAGCAGTACGGGAACATGCCCTCCATCCTGGGAGTCATGGGGAACTGGGCTGAAGGTGAGTGGGRTTCCATACAAAGACATCTTGAATCCTCTGTCCTGTCCCTGAGGAAACGGGATCTACTCAATGAGTAAAGCACAGCTGCTGGARAGACAGATGTGTTGTCCAGAAATGTGTGTTGGGAAAGTTTAACTCGTTATTTCGAAGTAATTTTGAGTTGTTGCAGTAGCTGGGGTATTAAWCCTTTCAAAATAGGTTTAGGTTAGGATATTTTTAAGCTCGTTTTCACAGAATGGTTTGGGTTGGAAGAATCACAGAATGGTTTGGATTGGAAGGGACCTTAAATCTCATCTCATTCCACTCCCTGCCATGRGCAGGGACACCTTCCACTATCCCAGGCTGCTCCCAGCCCTGTCCAGGCTGCCTTTGCTGCTCTGTGTTAACACAACCAATGCTCCCCTCCTCCACTGTTTCACTCTTCACAAACTTCTACAGGAAACCACAAAACCTCTGTGCTTGAAACAACCTATGAACACCATTTTAATTAAAAGTGGCATGCTATTCTTCTCATAAAACACCTTTTCCTCGAGCATTAGSTGACCTATTCTAACTTTGATTTCATTTTTAAAATCCTGTTATTCCCTGACAGATGACCTGGCCAGGATGAGGTTCAAGTGTCCATTCTGCAGCCACGTGGTGAAGAGAAAAGCCGACCTCAAGCGTCACCTTCGCTGTCACACGGGAGAGCGGCCGTACCCCTGCGAGGCGTGCGGGAAGAGATTCAGCAGGCTGGACCACCTCAGCAGCCATTTTCGAACTGTGAGTATTTTTAGCAGCCGCATGATTTATTTAACGTGTAAATCTGTCTAATTAAACACAGTGTGAGCGTATCTGGTTGATCTAATGACTCCTGGAAGGAAGAGGGAAYAGAAAATTAATTCGGTTTGGTTGCAGTCAAGTTGATGTGTAATTTGCAGGGAAGGGGARGAATTTGTTGGGTAATTGATGGCTTGCAGAGGTTCTGCTCTTTGCAGCCTGTGAGAGCTCCAGCGGGAAATTCTCCTGCTTGGGCTGGCGCAGCTCAGAATCCCAGAATTATTAGGGTTGGGAAAGACCTTCAAGATCTTTGAGTCCAACCCATGTCCTGATGCCTTAATTAAATAAGTGTCACATACAATCTTTGTTAAATCCAGGGATGGTGACTCCACCACCTCCCCAGGCAGAACATTCCAATGCTTTATCACTCTTTCTGCAAAGAACTTTTTTGTCCAATATCCAGTATCCAATATCCAGTATCCAATATCCAATATCAAATATCCATTATCCAATGTCCAATATTCAGTATCCAATATCCAATGTCCAGTATCCAATATCCAATATCCAATATCCAGTGTTTGATGTCTCTTGAGTTACCGATTCGATGCTGCTCCGATTTTACTTTGTTGCCATCTCCAATAAACTCCCTCTTGGCGCATCCTTTATCAAACTCCTGTTATCTGGATTTCCCCAGATCCACCAGGCGTGCAAGCCCATCTGCAGGAARTGCAAGCGCCACGTGACCGAGCTGACGGGCCAGGTGGTCCAGGAGGGGACRCGTCGCTACAGACTGTGCAACGAGTGCCTGGCCGAGGCCGGCATAGACAGCATCCGCATTGACTTGGAGGCTGAGGCACCTCTGGAGTTCCCTCAGGATGGGGACAAAGATTCCAGGTGGCACTACGGGGAGGACAACAGGTCCGACGTGGAGATCGTGGAGGACGGCTCGACYGATTTGGTCATCCAGCAGGTGGATGACAGCGAGGATGAAGCGGAGGAGAAGGAAGTGAAGCCCAATATTAGGTAGTTGGAAGATGAGGATTGGGAATTGTGTGGAAGAGGGAGAATGTACTGGGACCGCTGTTGGTGACCCTACAGAGACACGTGGGTGAACAGGTCCAGACTTGCMTGTATTTATGGACACGTCATTGAGGCCATTCTGGTTTGTCATCAGAACCCCCGTGAGTTGCTTTTTTAGGAAGAATCCACCCTTAAATAATGGATGGACAAGGAAAAGCAGTGTTACGTGGATAACTTTTTATAGCAGGCGATGGGGCCCGTCTCAAAGCCTCTTGCCAAGGGAGTGAGGTCTAAATGCTTTAAAAAAATTGTAGATTATTATAAATTGCCCGTTTTTTATACTTAGAGAGGTGTGGCTTCTCTCATTGGGCGATAAACAAAGTGTAAAGACCCCACACACCAGACAACCTCTCTTGAGTGTTCAGAASTAAAGAGAATCTTCCATGAATTGTCATTAATTCTTCACGTTATGATAAGGAAAAAAGGCAGATAATTAAGAAAGAGGATTTAAAATGTTTTGGCACTTTTRTCTGGAAAAGGACTTTAGTAAAATTTATTAGGATCAGGTGAACCTTTAGTAGATCATTAGTTCAAGGCCTATTTCTTTAAAAGAAAACAAGCACATAAATGCTTAACCCATGAGAGGCAAACCAATTAAAAATTTGGATCATTAATTGATGCCAGTAGATGTTTTAGTCTCCAAATTGGTATCTCAGACTGGGCTGTTTTATTAAGCACTATTAAAATACTCCTTTTTTTTTGGGAAGCCTCTCAAAAACACCCAGACACAGTGGGATTATTGGGGTGTAGGGCCAGGAATTGAATGATCCTCATGGGTCCCTTCCAGCTCAGGATATTCTGTTCTGTGCCCCTTTCCCAGTCTGTACCATATGCCAGTGAGAACAAGATGTACTGGAACTTCTGGACACCGTTTTTGTGTAATTTCACTCACAATTAGGATTACAGAGATGAGTAACGATGAAGAAATTTTAMTTCTCTAACAAAATGAGCTACTTGGTTTTGTTGCTTAGTGAGTTTATCTTACCCAAYACTGTCGACAGGAGAGGAGCAGAAGATGCTTCCAGGTGCTGCTGCATTCCTTGGACAGATCTGAGCTTTTATTCCAATTCTTCATCCTGGGATCGTGGAACTCAATGGCTGTAGACTTAGAAAATGATCTATTTTTTGTTTTCTTTTTTACAGCTTTSTAAGCATGTTTGGCTGAACCCCGGGGGGTTTCTTACACAACAATCCCATATATATATCTGCTATATAATCTTCCCCAGGGACAGCTAAAAAAAATCACTATTTTATTTTTAGTTGTGTAAAAAGTGTATAACCTTCTYGTGTCATCATGAGCAGAGAGCGCAGCATTTTCATTCCAGCCCAAGGTCTCTGAAGTGACAACTCGAGAACTTCACACTAAATTCAGTGTGATCATTAAGCACCCTCCCCTCTTTGGATGTTCTGAGGGCACAAGAAATGGTATTTTATTGTTCTTACAAAAATTATCATTTATTTGCTTTGGCTTGGGGAGGGGGTGACTTAAAARTATTTATTATGACCCATATGAAAACATCTTAAATGGGACTTRCCTTGGTTTTATGGGACACTTGATGTGAAAACAGACATTTGATTTTTGGGGAAAAACTCCTCAAATGCCTGTTATTAAACAGCTAAGAAATATTYCTGAGCAACCTGGACTGAATCAAAGACACAGAACGAGAAATATTTTAAAGGATATGGAGTAACTTTGCTCAAATTTCATAGATGTTTCCCTTTTCCCTTTCCATTAAAGAGTTTGACAACAAATTCCAGGTATCGGTGCCTGCTGTCCCAGGGTACAAAGGGGTGGAATTGGTCTCTGTGTGTTTGGGAATGGATTAAAAAGAGGGGAAAATAAAGTGTCTCTCCAGGCCTGAAATCTTAACTGCCAACTGCAAAGGTCAGGCTATTAAGTGTTTCTTAATAGTGGGGGTGTTTTTAGAAGCAAAGGGATTTTTTTGGATCAATACTCAATTTAATTAGATACCATAAATCTGAGAATACCGAGGACCAGATGCTTCAGAACGAGACCTGAAGCGGCTCTAAATGGGCAAATGGAACAATCTATCCATAGGAAGACTTTTACTTTTYAAACACAGATTAATTGTTGATTTGCTGGGCAAATAAGGGCTTTTTTTTTCTGGGCTTTTATATGTTGTTATTCTCMGTAGCATAACTAGATATCTGTAGTCATTTTTGAAATATCTTATTAAGCTTGGAGTTTTAGGTTGACTGCGATTCCCACAGGTCAATTATGTTTCCTATTTTTTAAAAGTTACCATTTTTACATTTGTTGCCTTAATTTCGGTTGTTATTTCCTTATTTTTGTAATGTATGACAAGCTAAATGTTTAAGTGCCTTCTGTTTTCCATGT